CTACTTGCAGATGTTCTACTTGCAGATGTTCTACTTGCAGATGTTCTACTTGCAGATGTTCTACTTGCGGAAAATGTTCTACATGCAGTAAAGTATTCTACTTGCAGAAAATGTTCTACTTGCCCGAAAGTTCTACTTGATGATGTTCTACTTGCAGTAAAATGTGAGGCTAGAGAAGATACCCTCAACGTTTTCTGTTGAGATCAGCGATAGAAAACCCGGAGTTATGCTTTAGTGAAAAGAACTCTACTCTTATTGAAATTCTTAGCAATTTCATTATATTCAGATGAAATTCATCGCAGGTTGCTGATAGCAAACAGCATCTGACTGTGGCGTTTATGAGCCAAAGTTAACACTGACTGATGAGTGGAAGCTGCCCTGAAGAGCAAAGGACAAAAAAAGAACAAAAATTTCAAGTAAATTTTCTGAAAAATTTAACATGAAAAAATTCACTGGCATACTTAGACAAGAAGAAGCACATGTTCTGAGAATGGAGGGTCTTGATAGAATTGCAACGACATCGGCGAAGATTGCAGACCTATAAGAACGGCAGCGACAGGTGACACCTTGACGCCTGCTGTCTATCTATACTTTTAGGTTTACTGCATTTGATGAAACACGATTTAAAGGACGCTTACCTGAATGCCATCGTGTATATGAAGCAGTTTCGAATACCTTTCGCGCAACAACAGCTGCTTGATAACTCAGAAATGAGATATTACGAAAACCATTTAACCGAATACGTCAGCTCGGAACTCTCGAAATTGTTTAATGAAAAATAAATACCGGTTTATGCAAAATTGTTTCGATTTCCGTAAGCTGAGAAGGATCACGGAGACTGTACGATTCTAAATGCGGCAACATGCGTGGTCTTTTTAACCTGGCTCGTTGTACATCTCAACGAGTTGGTGGAACATCAACTCGGGCAGACACACGTACGTCCTTCAGGAAGCCATTATACTTAAGGACACTAGTGAGCTAAGTTCGCAACTAGTATAAGGCGTGCACTAATCACTTCAGGGAGTCGCAGAACATAACGATACCTCGGAGCATGATTGCAACTATACAGCGTGTACTGATTATTGCAGAGGATTGCAAAGCTCTACGATGACTCGTGTTACCGTTTTTAAAAGTCTTCAAGGAGCAACTGTACAGGACATCTTTCTAAAGCCATTAAACTCTTCCAAAGCTATTATTTCTTATCACCATGTCTCTCCAAGAACATACCTTCATTTATAAAATTTATACGCATACTCACAGGAGAGACGTTGTCCACTTGAAGTATGATCATCGGTGGTTTGTATGGTTTAAATTTACCTTTCTTATGATTGAACAAAGGTTTTAAAATAAAATGACACACAACATAATGGTATCACGTGTAAGTCACTCAGAGCACAGTGCAATCTCAAGGCAAAAACATTAAAGCAGCATTGAAAAATCATTGAATATCACGCGAGACTTGACAATAGCAAAACATAAAAGAGGAACTAGTGCATGAATATGGGCGCTTTCGTGGGTTTATCTATCAGTCGGAAATACTTCGCTCGCAACCCCGGCAAAGTTACGGCGGAAATTGCGTTTGGGGTGAATTGAGGGGAACTGCATGACACCTACGCTGATGGCGCTGTGAGTTAAGGGAACTGTCACCTACGCTGATGGCAGGGTAACCGAAAAAGAACTTCCATCTACGCTGAAGGCGCTGTAAGTTAAGGGAATTGACAACTAGGCTGATGACAGTGTGATTTAAGGGGAAGTGACAATTACTCATATGGCAGGGTAACTTAATGGGAACTGATACCTACGCTCATGACAGTGTGAATTAAGGGGAACCGACAATATTACTCTGATGGCAGTGTGACTACAGGGGACCTGAAACTTATGCTGCTGGAAGGGTGACCTAAAGGATACTGACGACTATGCCGATAGCAGGGCGACTTAATGGGAACCGGCACCTACGCATAAATTTTGACCGTCGAAGACAGCGAAATAATGCCTTTCTTCTTAACAACATTCTTCGTATTTGATGAGGAAGACGAATCCAATTTTCTTTCTCATATTAGTCGATGAGCCCTTCAGGGTGATGGTGAGCTCTTCCGTGAAATAGGCCTCCTGCCCAGCATACATATTGCATTGATGAATGGCAGCAGGACTTTCACATGCACCTCTCCGCAACATCTTCCACAAGCACCTCACTGCAGCATCACTCAACAGCACTGCTTTGCAACATTTTCACAAGCACCTCACTGTAACAACTTCCACAAGCACCTCTCTGCAGCATCGCTCACCAGCACTGCTCTGCAGCATCTCTATGCAACCTCTCCACAAGCACCTCTATGCAGCATCTCCCACAAGCACCTCTATGCATCTCCCACAAGCACCTCTATGCAGCACCCACAAGCACCTCTATGCATCTCCCACAAGCACCTCTATGCAGCATCTCCCACAAGCACCTCTATGCATCTCTCACGAGCACCTCTATGCAGCACCCACAAGCACCNGCATCACCCACAAGCACCTCTATGCATCACCCACAAGCACCTCTATGCATCACCCACAAGCACCTATATGCAGCACCCACAAGCACCTCTATGCAGCATCACCCACAAGCACCTCTATGCATCACCCACAAGCACCTCTCTGAAACAGTTGTGTCAGCAAAGTGATATAATTCAGCTCAGGCATAAACCCATTCCTGGGTGTTGCTTGAGCCGTGACAGAGGATGGACGTGACGTGTCGTACCGATCCTGATATGACTTTTTTTCTGTTGCCTGTTGGTGGCAGTACACGCATCGTGTACTAAGTGTTTCAGTGAAAAGTCTGAAATTCTGTGTGAAGTCAGTAATGAGAGCGTGTATAGAAAACAAAGTGGATATTAAAAGTCACTATACCGAATTTTGCTTTTCCCGTTAAGTGTTTAGATTTCATTATTTTGGCCCAATTTGTGAGTAAATATCACAAATTTTTTTTTACCAATGAATTATTTCAGTGATCTCGTAAAGGAGAGAGTAAATGAACCATATCAGAGAACAGTAAAAAGTACCAGTAAAAATAGCAACAAAAGCTTGTACAAACCAACCATCTGGAGAATGCCTTGCATGCGAAAAACTAAATTATGGTAAATTTGCGCTGCGATGTAATTCATGCAGCCTGTTCTGTCACTTTGAATGCTCTCTACTGCCAGTATACCAACTTGCTAGATACGTAAAGACGAGGGTGTCATTCATTTGCATAGAATGCGTAATGAATGAGAAGTGGTTCAAGGAATGTGCCGAAGTTGTGCGAGATGTCGCCGAGAGTGAAGAAATTCAAACTAGGCTCAATGCGATCGCTTCCCTCGGCCGAAGCGCCCAGGCGTTGCCGCCCTCTACTCCCTCTACCCCCGCCTGCCCCAACGCTGTCCGAAATCATACCTCGCCTCCCTTTCCCTTTACTCGCACCGCACCCCTTGACCGCAGCCCAGAGAAGGATGGGGAAGGGGTAACCCTTCCTCTCCCCCACACAACACACACTCCCGCAGGCCATTTAAATTTAAATGCCTCGGCTGCCACTCCGCCTGGTCACAAACACAACTGCTGGAGGTATCTTCAGGGAAATTTCGATCAGGAAAATAAAAGACTGAGCTGTAGGTATCCTCACCCTAAAATATGTCTCAAATTTTCATCATATGGAAGAAAAAACCCACGTGGATGCAAAAATGGGAAATACTGCCCATTCTACCACCCGTTTTTGTGCTGGATTACTATAAAAAATATAGCTTGTAAACAAGACAACTGTTGCTTTCATCACCTTAGACTCAGCCCGCAGGCGGGAAAACCTAAGCAGCAGCATTCACACAGGGCGGCAAATGCCGCGTGCGTCAAAAATGCCGCGGCAGTATTTACCGCGCAATCTTTCACACGAGGCGCTTTTTACTGCTGGAATCTATGTCTTGCAGTGCTGTTCTCCGCAAGTGGTACTGACGGTGTCTATTAAGGGCTGCTTACCTTAGACTCAGCCCGCAGGCGGGAAGAGATACCAAAGGGAGACGGAATTTTGATACTTCCTCCCCGCAACACCAGATAGACTCTACTACCAAATTTGAAATTTCAGAATAAAATGCATATGTTAAAAAAACTCCTTTCTGGGAAGGGCGAATCTATCGTAATTAGAAATACAACAGGGCAGTCCCAAAAATTACCACACCGGACACCACATCCTACCGGAGTGGAGAACCACACTGAGAACTCGATATCAGGCGCAGCAATTTTTTAGACCTGCAGAAGCAAGCAGATCAGATTCAGCAACAAATGCAACAACTGTTGAAACTGCACGAACAACAGCAGAAATCCCAGCAACAAATGCAACAGCTGCGGAGCCAGAGACCCCAGGCAGTCCAGTGTTACTACAACTAAGGACGCAAGGAAGGGAAGAAACTAGCATCATGATGGCTAACATAGAGGGACTCTTCCCAAGAAGAAAACGCCACAAGATCGGCGTACTTAAAGAAATTGCTGAGACAGAAGGAATAATCATGCTTGCCTTAACCGAGTCACACCTAAGAGAAGATATCCAAGACGGAGAAATCGAGATGAAAGGCTTTCAACATTACCGAGCAGATCGAAAAGAAGGGAGAAGAAAAGGAGGCGTTATAGTCTACCTCAGAAACTTCCTAGCGGCAAAAACAGTTCCCCTGCATTTAGGCTCCAATGGATATGTGGAACATGTTATATTGTGCTGTACATCCCCCATCTCCATCTATGCATAGCTATCGTATTCCGACCGCCTGACAGCCCGCCTGAAAAATTCAATGAAACTCTCGATAGAATAGAAACAGAGGTGGCCAACTTAGGTGAACCTTCCCCAAACATTGTGGTTGCGGGAAATTTTAACCTACCACACATACGATGGCCAAACTTGGACTGTTTAGAACGGCGCAGAAATCAAGCCAGAAACCAGGCAACACAACTACTTCGATTCACTAGGGAGCACTTGCTAAGCTAACAGGTTCTGGTGCCAACAAGAGAACATAATATCCTGGATCTATTTTTCACCAGCAATGAAGAACTGGTTGCTGATATTCGTGTTGAGGAGACCACACTGTCTGACCATCGACTAGTGGTGGTCAAGACAACAATTGAGAGGGGAACCCAGCCAAGACCTACACCTCGAGAGGAGCTAGCTGGGCTAAATTTTCATCATCGAAGAACAGACTGGGAGGCCATTGTGAACAAACTCCTCGAAGTTGACTGGAGAACTGAGTTCCTGGAATTAAACGCCGGAACAATGTACAACAAACTGTGTGAATTAGTATTACTGCAGGTATGCGTGCGTCATACGCCGGAAAAAAACGACCCCCAAACGCCACATAATTCCGAGGGACAAACGAATCCTCATGAGAAAACGAGCGAGCTTGAACAACCAGATAACGGCTGCCTCCAGGAATATAGAGAGGCGGAGGCTGGAACATCTAAAGGTTAAAAATAAGGAAACTGAACGACAGTTGCAGGACTCACACGAGGCCGAGCAACAAATTGCAGAGGCGCAAGCGGTGTCTGCCATTCGAGAGAATCCCAAATATTTATACAAATATGCCCGGTCAAAGGCCAAAATCAGAGCCTCAGTGGGACCTCTGNCTGTCTCTTATACACATCTAGATGTGTATAAGAGACAGATCCCAGATCGGCCTCCCCTGCAACACTGCCAGCGGCGAGAAGCAAGCAACAGCATCGTGCATCAGGTGGCCCAAATGAGGGCGGATGAACGATAATCAGAGGCGACGATCCATCGTGGCCTGGGACTGCTATGTGCCAAACAAATACTAAGTAAAGGAACTAAGGAATACTAAGGGCAGTCGACAGGATGACTGAAATAACGAGTGTGTCGAGGGCAGAGGCATCGACGCAGATAAGCAGCTACGGATGTAACTGTTACTTCTCGTTTGAATAGATCATGTGTGAATTTTCATAACACAAATATCATAATACACAACCAACAGTCACAACGCATCGCTTGGAGCCACCAACTCCACCAACAGACACCATCATGCGCTCGGCGCTCACTTTAACACTGGTGGTGTCGTTGCAGTAGTTGAACTTGGGGATGCTCCCCCATCCCACAGTCTCCACCTCAACACTGTACCCGTCACACCCGTCGTCCCCTTTGAAGTCAGTCGACGGGTCAAAGACGATAATGAAGATTCCACCGAGGTCCGGCGTGTGCGTGAATTTCACAGAGCAGTCGGTCACAGCCTCGTTGGGGAAATACTGACACCCGAGCCCAGGATGAGACAAGATGTAAACCCCGAACTCGCCGGGGTTAGGGAGTGTGATCGTCTGGCCGCAGTTCTTGACTGAAATGAGAGCAAACGGGGATTATGCACACTGGTGGTTGATAATTCAGATTAACAGAATGAACTCGACAGCAAAGGCGAAATACCCTTTGTGATGAATTATAATAATTTAATTAGCAATATGATGATTATCTATGAATTTATTGAAGGATTTATGTTCATTAGAACGATCATAATCTTTCCTGGATTCAGAATAGACGACTGTGCCCTTTAACTGCAATTAACTAAAGATTTAAAAAATTATACGTGACACCAGACAACTTCTCATTGCTGACACTGAACAATTGAGACTCGTCATATGGAATAAATCAAAATAAATGCAGAAAATGAGACTCAACATCGCACTGAAATTTTCTGCTTGCGCACTGTCGTAAGGCACTCTTCGTTTCTGGGGGGCTGATTCACCTTCACTTCCTCTGCATGACTCCCATATGATCTGACAGAGACCAATTATACGACGAAAGACAAAATATTTGCTAACCAATAAAATATCATTTACAATATCATTTAAATTCTGGATGTTCAGAACTTTACTGACGTAGGACTAAGGGCGGGGGCGAAGTGAGCTGGTAAGGTATGAGCGCCATGTCGCCACAGGGAGCCGAGGTGATGCAGGACTCCAGGTCAACGGCTGCGCTAAGGAAATAACGCCTATCGCCCATCGCATTGTACACGACGACGTTTGCTGCCAAGAAATAACACACAATTTTTGAAAATCAAACTCAAGAATTTCCGGCTGGCTCAAATTTCATCTCCAACTATGCCATTAATTTGAAGTTATTAAAGCATCCATGAGTATTGAGGTTTGTATAAAAATTCGAAGTTTAAGTGCATAATAAATCTATAATGGAGAAACAATCAAAAGATGATGAGGACATTAAAGCTAGATATTGAAGACATGCACCTTCAAGAGTTAGTAATTTAGTGGAAAGGAAAGGCTTTAACGAAAGGAGGTTGCTGCGTTACCTTGGCTGATGTCTTCTGAAGGCAAAGCCATTCCAAAACTTTTGAAAGGAATATCTTGCGACAAGTCATTCTTGATTTTCATCAGACGTGCTTCATTATAGGAAACATTCATCGTTCTAGGGTCATCTGTAAAACAGAGTGTAATTAATATAATATCTCTCAGAAGAGGCTCGTGTATTATCAACACGCGACCATGACTTGGCGGAGCCTCGTGCGATTTCAACACGTCAACCGGACGCTGTGCCGTATCATCCGTAATTGACGTTACTCTGACGTATTTTCCGGCAAAAGGCGGCTGGGCGGACGATGCTATGTCAGATCTGTCGCCGAATGCCACGCAGTCTCATAGTTAACAGTCACAATTACCATGACTGCCACCCTGCTACAGCCCCGCGCGTTCTGGGATGGCGATAGGAAAGATGCCGTAGGTAACGTCACACGTCAACTGACATTGATTGCTATAACACTCGAAGCCAATATCGCCAGCCTCTCCCTCCAAGAGGCTTTCCGTAACTCCTTTTCCAAATCAATAGAACCTCCCACCCCACAAAAACTAGAAAAGTCAATGACGTACATTACAAAGAGTCCTTTCATTTCAGCCCCAGGCACTGACTATTCGATACTTATCAAACTATTTACCAGTTCTATAAAAGACCTCAACCCATCCCTATAGCATAACATTTGATATGCTGACGAACTGAGAAGGAAACACTACGACTAAAACTCGGTGAAAGACGTAGACTCATGCAAAATAATGAACAATTTGAAACGACAACAAATAACATTCAACCAGCTTACAATAAACTACATCCCTCAGGACGTTTTCAGAGCCATGGGCAGACAGGCAATAACCGCGAAAAACCATGAATAAACATCTACCAGCCTGCACAATAATAACTCAGTCCTTAATTACTCAAAACGGCAAGCATCTAAACTGTAGCCAGACTCGTCCCACACACGAGAAAGCATATCTTCTGTTACTGAGTGCACCGTAGCAGTGATACGGTTCTTCAGATCAACCAGAGTTGTTGGTAGAGGCGGGACGTAAACAGAGTTTGCTGGTAGAGGCGGTACGGACGAGTAAACATAGTTGCTGGTAGAGGCGGGACGTAAACAGCTTCCTTGACGTAACCCCATAAGGAATAGACACATATGGGGTGAGATCAGGTGATCTCAGTGGCCAGATGTGCAGTGGCGCATCTTCATTTTCTATGCGTCCTACCAAACGCTCAGGCCGCGAGAACTTTAGCGGCCGTTTCTGCAACTACCGCCGCCGCCGCTCAATTCCGTGTTTGAATAAGTTAACAAATGTAATATTTCTCTTTCCATTCGTTCATCATTTAGAATAACCCTGAATTTCCCATTGATTTCATTACACATAATCCTGCATTACTCTAAGATGACTTGCTAGTAAGATAAATTGATATGTGGCACACCAAACGAACCGATAAGAGGGTCGGTATCACCAGTCTGGAGGTACTGCTGTTTGAAGTACATTCCCGTGGGGAACTGTTTACCGTGTCCTGAGCCGGTACATGCACATAGGCTCGCCCTCGGCTTAGGTAACTCATAGCAGCTTGTATCTTCGAACACGAAGCCTGCCACGTCTGCGAACAACAGTAATTTTAGTGTGCGGCTCGAGTGGATGAGACAAGACTCATCCACTTCAGTAACATTTGGCATTTTTTGTAGGTTTGGAATGTATGAATATAATTGCATTCGTGCGTAATTCACCGACAGAACGGAATTATTCATCCTGTGAAAGAGATATTGCGGAATTACCTGCCAGTGCTGCCTTTCTAGCGCAGTCCTCGAATTTCGCGGCATCAATTGTGGCGATTGGTTCGGGAAATGCAGCATCGAAAGAATAAATGTACCGAGGAGTATTAAGTTCGGCGTCGGTTGGGTAAAATTCAAGTTCATAAACCTGGAAGATAAATGGATATCTACATGTTCACACACGAATACGTAGGTGTTCCCATGGCATAAGTGATGCCACTTAATATTATGGCAATAAACTGTTGATGATGAAAACTATCGCGCAGCTCAGTGTTCAAGGGAACATTTCAGAACAGATAATGCGCTACGTTGGTCACAAATTCTCATTCGTGGAAAAGTGAATTCTCGGTGGACAAATTACAATGAAATATACGCACAGCCATGTGCAGTTGAGTTCTGAATATTGTGTGGAATGCATAGTAGTATTAACATAATGCATTTATTCGTAATTTGCTTAGAATACTTAGAGTCCTAAGATGCCGTCTCACCACGGGAGCTCCCGAGGCGGAGGCCAGCTCCAGGGTCCGGAAGATGCCCTTCGTTTGAGATTGTCCGGCAGAGGGGCTTGCTCCACATGTCTTGTCTCCCGACCCCAAGTCAGGCAAGAGGGGTATCGGCTCCTGGTGTCGATGAGAGGAAGTCAAATGATCGTGGAATTTAATCAGCTTAACAAAACAAAAAGTACCAACTTCTATTTTTTTGTGCGGACAAGAAAGCGTACAATTGTGTTCTCAGAGAAATATGCTCCTGTGACCTATGAGCGATGGGTGTTATGCTGGTTATGAAACAGCCCGAGGAACTAATAAATAGATGGAATTGCTCTACGTTCTTCGAAAGTCCCAATATATTGCAGAATATGTCAGCGTTGAAATAGTTGTGCGGGCTAGACTACGACTCATTATACTTGTAAGTCGCCTGTTATTACTTACACCTCTCAAAAATCAACCAGCCTACTAAGATGAGTATTTTAATGTGGGAGTTAATCGAGTTTCAGATTTTTATGTATACACTGGACATGTCAACCATTATTAATGCATCGGCGATGGTTTTTCAACTGTTTTTTCGCATCGGCGATGAGACAGGAAAAACATTAGGCCTGAACACAATGCTTCATGGTTAATAAATCATGCAATTAATACCTTGTTAATAACTAGGCCTAAAACTTTATAGGCCATTAGAATAATTGAAGCCAGAATTATTTGAAAAATTCTATCCTCGAAAATAAAATTTATCATATGCACAAGATCCGATCAACTCTAAAACAACAAAACATTACGACGTAAAAAACGATGTAGATAAAAATATCGTATTTTCAATGCATCTTATAATTAATTATAAGATGCATTATATTTAATTATAATTTTTCACTGCAGTTGATTTGACGTTTCGTTTTGCATGTGGGGTCATTGCATTCATATGGGGTCATTAATTAGATTCGGCTAATTACACCAAGAAGCCAGGAGACGAAATCCGCGGTAATATTTCAGGGCACGTGACACAGAAAAAATAAACAAAATATTATGAGAAATTTAGCAATTCTAAGGTAAGATTTATTTTAATTCAACGACCAAGCAAAGCATTGTAATAAGCAGCGGCTTCTGATGTTCCCGCAATATGAACATTTGCAGACTCGGCCTCCGGACACCCGAGTGACGTAGCACACGAAGTGTCCGTCAGGGGACTCTCGCACTTGTGTTAAGAGGTGGACTTTTAGGAGGACTTCACTTGACTGTTAGGAGGACTTCACTTGGCTTCACTTGGTTTCCTCACGATTCTTGCTGAATCCGACTATATCCGCAGAGCTGATCTCTTAAACTCACCATTTGAGCGACCTGAAACAAGCAGAATTTTCATTGAAAAAGACTTGTGAACTTTTATAATGGGCTTCTATGCCTTTTTTCGCTAGTTGCAGCTGATACGGCTACTCAATTAATTTTCCGGCTCGAGAAGCAAGGCAATGCAATGCTTAATTTCATCACTTAGACCGCCTTATATAATCTAATCAGTTTGATATTAAGCAATGTTCTAAATGCGTCACTGATTATTCCTTCCTATTTTGCGTCAGATAATTACACTAATTTTTAGATATTCAAGAACTATCCTTCTGTAGACTACATTCTCAACCGCGCAAAATATTCATACAATTCATCTTCTTTTTTCAAATAAAAAATTTCTGCCTTACTTAACATGAGACTGTGACATATATTTAAACAGCAGGATATAATAATATTGTCAAGAAAGTGCTGATTAACCCAAGTTTCTCATATGTGTGCTACCAAACTCCTGCTGAACTCAATGTACATACGCGAAAGCGGCAAATATGTTCAACATATAAGGTCTTAAGCTGTGAGTTAAATTGTTGCACTCCATGTACCTGATGTAACGTCAACACTTTATTGATGGTACAAAATTCCAGTTTACTCACAAAATTAACAAGCTAAGTTAGAGCATGCGAGGCTGATCAATTAAATGTGCTGCACAAGATATGATATGAAGCATGTTACTTGAGTTCAGTGTGTTACTTAACTCTCCATGCTTGCTTTGAAAACTCATGCCTACCACTTCACAGAAATCAGTCCAAAATTACAAAAGAAAACACTTGCATTTTTTCAAAATATTGAATATATAACTTATACTCGATGTTAATCTTACGGTCAGACCGAAGCCCGCGCAGGCCAGCGACAGCGCGAGTACCACCAACGTCATCGTCAAGTTGTCGCTCGTTGCGGTCACTGAAAAAGATGAGGAGCGTCCGTAGATTAGAGGTATTGGATTTCGGTAAAGTTGGAGCGGCAGCTTTGGTAAAGAGTTAGCCAAGTAGGCAGGCTGTATGTAAAGTCCATCTGACGTGTGGGCATGAATATTTTGCTGCAAAATGGCAATCGCAACGAAGGAGTGGCGTTGAACAAAAAACTTTCAATGAACAGAGACAGTAGCTGCTTGATCAGCACCAGCCGACCGGGTTCGTACGAAGAATAGGTTCCGTAAAGCCAATTCGTTTGCAAAATCGGAGGTTTTGAGAGCCAAAGAGATTATTCAGTATGGAGTCTGATTTTACCAGCCCACATTACTTAATTATGCTTCAACTTTGACAGGCAAAACCAAGTTAATTAATATTATATTTACGGTCTAAATTCAAGCAATCAAAATTTATCCACGCTCGATTTCTCCGTAGACAACCTCTCGAAACGAGTCTATCTGTTACTGCCTGATCCGATAATGGCTCTAAATTTAAATATATAGCAGGCAGGAAGTAAGCCCTGATCATCTACGATAAATCCATAATTATTCTTCAGAGGCACAACTGTAACCCTTCTTAACATTACCGCTCACTCCTGCTCTCTAATCACACTTATATGAATTCAGGAAAAAGTTCAAATTCAAAAGTGCGATCTAGCACTGAATATGTAAGGAAGTAATTTGTCCAGTATCGAGCCATTTCTCATGACGTAACACTATTGTATAGGCAGGCGAATCTACAGCGTCTCTGGCCATACTCTGATTTTGTCGCAAATTACCATTGGTATCATGTGTTTTAGCCAGATTCTATAATTAAAAAATGATCGATCTCCAAGCATTTTCAAATTTCATTGGACAAACTGTCTCATTTGAAAACTGAACGAACCCCCCCTCCGGCCACAATATTCTGTAATTTATTCAACATAAACAAAGGACCTAACTCAACTTTCAATGAAACTCGAAGAAAAATAAGGTTCAGGCGCAGGTTGGATGCATTTTATAGCTGATTTGTAGTGAAATACAACTCGAATTAGAATGTCAATTCAGGCGAACGTGACAGCGTTGCAGGGGACGGGAATAAATGCATCTTAAAATAAAAAAATATACTTATATTTTTTTGGTAGTGACGATCTGCGTTGGAGATGATGACTTCTATTTCATATAAATTCACGTAAATAAATAACACATGGATTTAGTGATTGAGAAATTCGGAAACTAATATTTACAGTGGAGTTATGTCACAAATACGTAACTTACCTTTTACTTCGAATCAGCACTATAAATTCGATCAGTAAAGTTTCTAATTGGTAGATTTCAAATGTATAAAGCAACAAAAATGAGAATATGTTAAAAGATGTTTGCGCCACTAGATCCAGACGGTCAATGCTCCACAGTGAAAGTAACAATCGCCCACTTCAGGACAGGTAACCCCATTTCTAGACTTCTTTGTTGGCCATAACACTTGTCAAACACACGCACCTTTTTGACGACATGCCACCTGTTTGATGAGTCACCCAGTGCAATGCATCGGTCCGACAAACGAGGACTTTTTTGGTCCGGTTTATGATCTGGGAAGCGTTAAGACACGTGTCATATTTCCTCTAAACTGAAGTAATATGAATATTAAGAATTCTCGCTTGATATACAGTGGGGGGAAATAAATATTCGTACACTTGAAAAATCGTATTTTAATGTATGTAAGTACACAAACTGAACAGGATAAGTGATTTATATTATGTATAGAGGCGCATTGTATTCAAAAATAGCATCAATAGAAATTAAATCTCAATGCAACAAAAATTAATGCAACTCTGAAATTCAACAGGTACAATTTTCCCCCCGTGATTTTTAGGGAGTGTTTCTGTAATACAAATAATGTCTATACACTCGTTTGAGATCACAGTTGACGGGGATCACCAGGATTTATCGTGGCCATTGTTGTTGGGTTCTCTATAAGTCGCTTCTGCGCACAAAGATTTGATAACGTACACTAAACATACTCTAAATAGGCAGAATTGTGAGTATTTGTATGTGTGGTAATAACAGACTGGCCCTCGGGACAATTAAAGGCGGCGAGTGCGACTTGCCTGATGGAGCTGAGGGCGGCGCTCCAGCGTGGCCTGGGGCTGTTACGTCCGAAAAACATACTTTGGATATTATGAAATCTTGAATTTCTCCACACCCGTAGACTCCATTCAGACTTGAAGTTCCTAACCAAGATTATTAGTAAGATAAAATTAAGTGTCTATTGATAACGAAATTTCTAGGTTGAGTTGCAGGCTCAATGTGGTGAAAAATACATATTCACCTCTTCGTGCATTTGAAGTAATTTTCTAATTTCACAAAGTAATGGACCCATTCTTCTGAATGCTTTAAGTGATGACCTAATGTTTGAGACGAAGATAATACTTAAGGCATCCTCTTTACGACGTTCGTCGCGTTGATGATCGATTACGTAGTTTTTTATCCTTAATAGTGAAGACTAAAAATCAATAAAAGTGCAACGACTAAAGCAGCACTAAAGCTGCTCGCAAAATATAAATGGATGAAGTGATAATAAAGCGTCCAAATTGGGCTCGATATACTAATCAACTGAAGAATTTGAAAGAGAAATGCAAAAAATTAAAACTTGGCGGAATGAGAGGTCGAAAACTCTTAATTGATTGGGTGTATCGGAAAAAAGTGTTGTAACTCACTACGGATTTCTAATAAAATAAAACAATTTTTACGAGAAATAGCTTTTTAACAGCTCATATCTCTTAATAATAATATATCTTCTAATCTTGATAGCTTGTATTTCTTTTCAAAACATCTCGTGGAATTTTCTATCGCTCTTTGAACGCAATGAACGCTTGATTGTTACATGCAGACGGCGGAGTTAGCCCCTCAAGCAACAGCTTTTCTACTCAGATTCTCCTCACCGCAATAGCGCACGTTCTTAATTAAAATGTCGCACGTTCTTCATTAAAAAGTCGCACGTTCTTAAGATGTCTTACACGTCGGTGGATCGCTTGAAAGATCTTACTGACGTTCAGGACTTAACTATGGCCTCATTTGACGTACAAAACTTGTTTACTAATATACCCATTCACGAAACAATTGAAATTTGACTCAATTCTCTATTTAAAAATATTTATGCTCTTGTGATTGGTTTAAACCATGATTTTTTCAAATCTTTTTAGAATTATCAGTTCTTAACTCATATTTCATATTTGCTGGCAAGTTTTATACACAGATTGACGGTTTAGGCATGGGACTACCGCTTGGCCTGACCTTTGCAAATATTTTATGTGCTTCCACGAGGTTTCTTGGCTGGCCAATTGTCCTCTTGATTTTAAGCCTGTATTCTATAACAGATGCGTCGATGACACCTTTTTAATTTTCAAGCATCCCTTCCATGTCAAACTATTCTTTGATTACCTGAATTCGCAACATAATTCTATCAAATTTATCATGGAGCTTGAGTCTAACAATAGTTTGTACTTCATCGATTGCAATATTATCAAATCTAATGGCAGTTTTTTTACTTCTGTGTTCCGAAAACTGACATTCGCCGGTCTAAGTAGCAGTTTCTTTAGCTTTTGTTCATTTTGTTTCAAGTTGAATGAGCTTCAAACTTTATTACACAGAGGTTTTCGCATTTGTTCAACATACCACGCTATGCACGCTGAATTTGAATTTTTCCGCTATATTTTCTCGCTTAATGGATTTCCGGCAAGTTTGGTGTTTACCCAAATCAAAAAATTCATGTCGAAGCGATAAAGTGAGCATGCTCCCGTGAGCATGCTCCCATAGCATGCTCCCATATTATGTGCATGCTCCCATGTGATGCTCCCATGTGCATGCTCCCAGTGAGCATGCTCCCATATTATGAAAATTTGAATTTCTTCAAATCCGTCGACTATATCCAGATTTGAAGTTCTTAACCAAGATTGTAAATAATAAAAAGTTATTTATTGTTATTTTCCATACTTCGGCCCTGCGTCCGAAGCTATGTCATGAGAATTAAAAGTCTTGTTCAATAGATACTTCCCGAATTTCCATCTTCATATTGTGCTGGTAAACAATTTCACAATCGGTTCTTTCTTTAGATATAAAGATATGCTCTCTGTTCATATGTGGTTGTCACTGGTTTATCAATATTGTTGTGCACGATGTGAATCTGCGTGCGTCGGGATGACGTCACGCAATCTTTATTCCAGGGTCGCTGAGCATAAGGGCAGGAGTTGTAGGACCGGGCAGTTGCTATCGCGCCCTCCTCATTCGGCACTGTTTCTGACAGTGACTTTAGGGTGTTAACTTCCACCTCCCGCACTTCAGATTTGCGTATTTTAGGATCCTTGTACATTTTAAACTTAAGCCCAGTTTGAATTCAGCGGTTAGCTCCTATCCTCTTGAAATTGTGAATAGATAAGTTTTGTGCTCTATTATTTGTAAATGTAGGTTTTTAATTGTGTTCTGTGCTTTAAATTGTATTAATTTGCAACTTTCTATTCAAATTCTAGATTTTACGAACTGCGATGGCGCTGGACGTTTTCCATAGAGATATGAATTTCTGTTGACTATTCTTTGTTTCTGAATTTTAATGAGCTGTATATATCAATATGTCATCTGTCGAAACGACAATCCAGCCTGAGGCTGTTACGTCCAAAAAACATACTCTGGATATTATGAAAATTTGAATTTCTTCAAATCCGTCGACTATATGCAGATTTGAAGTTCCTAACCAAGATTGTAAATAATAAAAAATTAAAAAAAACTTTCAATCTTAATGGCTCGTATTGCTTTTTAAATCATCTCATGAAATTTTGTATCCCTCCTTTATTGAACGTAATGAACTTGAAAAAATGTTGAACCGGACGGCAGGTTGCGTGTGTTTGATCGTCCGGGGCTTGATTATCAAAATATCGCTAAGCACGCATAACTTTTTGAACTCACTCACATAAATTTACGTAATGTGTAAGAAGCACGAATTTTGGCACTATCAAATTTACGTACGCAAGACGTATCTAAAATGGTTGTTTCTAAACCATGGCTTAACAGCCCAAAGGCTCTCGTACATCCTTTATTTATATTCTGAGTCCGATGTCTTCCATGCTTCAATGTTATGCGTTTTAAAAAGTTTTAGCTGTCATAAATTATTTTAGATGCTTTTACTCAAAAATTTTGCCCATAAATACTATACCATAAATACTAGCATAGCTTAATTAATTATATACATGACATTATGTACAGCGCGAGTGAAATAATCAACATAGTAAACTCCGAAGGTAAGCTGTTTGATTGAATATGTAGTAGGGCAACATGGGGCAGCGCGCCCCCCTCTTTTTTTAAACTAAATTTTTAATGAAGTTTTAATTGATACGAGGTGGTTCTTTGTTTTGTTTAAAAGTACAACTAATGATGAATGTATGATGTGAATTAGACGCCTATATGTTTATTCAATTTTTAATGAAACGCTATTTTGTAAAAAGTGTCAAAATGGGCCCATTGCCCAACCCTTGGGGCAATGGGCCCATGGGCTTGGGGCAAGGCGCCCACCCTTGGTCCCTTTACCACAAATGCATATTTTTCGTTTAAAAATAAAAAAAACAACACTTTACAGTTATAAATAAGAAAATGTAATGAAAAACATAACATTCACTCATTCATTAACAACTCAAAAAATCATATACTTAACTTGAAAAAATATACTCTTGGCTCAAAAAATCTATCACTGACGTGAAGAAAAATATTTCATTGACATAAAAATACATATCCTTGACTTGAAAAATATATCATTGCAATAAAAAATTTGTCCTTGACATGAAAAAATGTATCATTGACTAAAAAAAATATATTTAGTTGATCAGAAAAAAATTTTGTTCCAGTTTCGTCCATAATCCAGATATTATGTGCAGAGAATTCGTACATAATCGTGATTTCAGCCAACACCATAAAAATTCATCAACTTTTGGCTCATTGGTGTTGCCTGAAATCAACTTTTGGCAAGGCAAGAGTCAATAACTCGATAAGGGGTCATAAATCCGCATAACTAGAAACTAAACCTGCTGCCTTGAGGCGACAAATCAAAAAATCATGTAATATGAAGTGTAATTTGTAATTCAAAAGAGTAGTCATAGTTTGAAAAGGTCACTGAGACAAATCTAATGATGTATAACACAAGACTTCACCATGGGCGCTTCGCCCCGTGACACGCGTGGGCCCGTTTCCCCATATAGGTATCACTTCAATTTATATCGTATCAACATTTTATTTTAAAAGCTAATAGTCTAAACTTGATCTCAAAATTGTCCCTATAAATATTACTTTGAAAATATAATTCACAGTAATTTCAAAAGCTTCATCTACAGTAATCGAAAAATTTTTTA